TTAGCAGCCTTAATGTCATTATACAGATTAGGGTCACAATAAGGCACAGTGATCTCTGCTGATCTCCAGCTTAGCAGCCAGTGTCCACACTCACTCTGAGTTCTTCTTGTTTGTTTTCATTCCCCCCAGCAGGATTTTATGCTAATAAAAAATGAGTAGCACCTTTCTGCTCAAATTATGACTGAAAAGTAGCAGTTATTTTCATTTTTCACTGACCACCAGATGGTGCCAGAGACAACCTTTGAAGAGTACTGTGACCTCACTGTTGCATACATAACAGGGCCAGCTGTGAGCTGCAAGAGACCTGCAGAAATTTGATTCTAACTTATCAAATATTAATATAATCATAAAACAAACCATGTTTTCCTCCTAAATAACAGTAAGTTTCCATTTGCACACATTATAAAAGAGCTGCTTTGCATTTTAAGATTCCAACACTTAACACATTACTATCTGGAAAATCTCTGAATACTCACAATATTATGCCGCATACATACAGCTGGAGCAAACAGGGAGTTCTGTGACAATTCGTAACCGATTGAGCTGAACATCACACAGCCTCGCATTACATGAAGATAAAGGTGACACTGACGCAGGCTAAATTCACAGAACCTCTCTGGAATGTAAAAACGTCTGTCCAAGTTTCCTAAAAACTGAGCACCTGAATGGTGATTCTGCTTGAATTATTAATTTCATTTTGTTTTCATCTCATATGCACTGTCACAAACTGTTTGGGGTCACTAAGAAATGATCTTGCTTTTAATGTTTTCATGTTTTTACATGCAGATGCATTCAGTCTCCTTTAATCATTGATCATTTTTAATGGAATATTGGCACAAATGTACAGCAGCCATGGAGTTTTTGGTTGCTGAAAATCCAGTGGAACATTGTGTTACCTAATGCAAGTTTATCAGGGTAAAAGGCTGATCGATCATTAGAAAAACCCTTTTACAATTATGTTAGCACAGCTGAGAACTGTTCTGCTGATTAAAGAAGTCGTCAGGCTAGCTGAATGTCCGGAGCGTGAGCAATTACAAAAACAGAGTCATCTTCATTTGTTTAAAAGAAACAAAGGATATAACTCAGCGGACATGACCTAAAACATAAAAATTGTATGATATTACTTTATACTAGTCCCTTCTTAGAAGCTAAATGCCTTTAACCAATGCAGAAAGAGAAGTAGGAGACAGAACTAAGCATGAATCCCTTACAGGTTCTCAACTGGCAACATCATTAACATGTAGCAACGTATCCATGAAGCCACAGTCTCATTGTCAACAGTGAAAAGGGACGTATTGCATTGACAACTAGAGTGCTAAAAGTCTGCAAGGAGATCCTCTGAAGAAGGCAAACTTTTAAATGCTTATTTCTAACCTCGTCAGTTTCTTAGGACATTTATCTGATGTGATCATAGCTCCAATTCACTTTGCAACTCACCCAATTAATAGATTTTCATAAAAAAAATTCTCCAGACTTTTGACCTTACCCCTATGTCGTTATAAGAAACTAATAATGCTGCGGCGCAAACAGCTTTATATTCATATAAAGCTATTTGGTGATATATATATCAGACTGAACGTATGACAGATCATCTGGTTTGAAGAGTCACACATTTACTTACCAATGTAAGACGGTTCCTTTTGGTGATACTATTACATCATCTGCAGTTCACACAACACATTGTGGGATTAAAAATAAGGTGGGCAAAGAACAGATGTTTTTGTTAACTGAATTCAGCTGGCTGTGGTGTGGATATGTGGCCAAAGCTGAAATTCCTCTGATGTTCACTTCAGGCTGCCTCCACTTCACTCCAGAGAGTCACTGAAATGGACCGAGCAACCTTTATTTTTGTAGCCCTTCTTAATGAAATGATCAGGAAAAGCATCCTTTGTAAAATTCTCCTAAATCCAACATGTGGAGCGACCCACTGTGGCAATCCCTTGTAGACTGTCCAACAAGTTTTAGTTTCAGTTTTGCTGAGTGAAAGTCTGGTATTGTGTTAATCTGTAACTCATCTCTAATAAGCAGTTTGTGTCTGTGTAATAATCGCTCTACAGTTTATGGATATAGCTAGCTAATCAAGCCTGCTAGCTGTCTCCCAATTTAACATACTAATCCAGCCCCTTGTCCCATTATTTGTCCCATTTACTCCACTAAAGCAACATGTGGGGAGGTCAAAATGCTAACGTTGAGGCTTCAAAATTCAGAATTAAAATGAGTGGGTGTTGTCATGTGTTTAATTCTATCACGTAAATGTATGTGGTTTAAAATCCAGTGTAATACTTTAAATAAAGCCCGCCCACAAAAAAAATATAAATTTAACTTCACTGATTACAAAAAACAAAAGGAAATGTAAAAGAAAATGAAATTTACTGCATGATTTGTAACCTTTGCATTACCTTAAGAAAGGGGCGCTGAAGGTGCTGTGTAGACATGTCTGCTATATTATCAATCTTCACTGGAATTACACTTTAATCCCATTTCTCTTCACTTCACACGTAATTCTTCTCTTTTTCAGTCTAAATATCTTGAGACAATCAAGACAAGACAATGATGTGCTGTGTGCTGCCTGCAGGAATATTTGCAGATCGTAATCACCCTCCTTTTGCAGCTTGGTTTAAATTTTAGCTCTATTGCTCCGACATCAGCCTCATTCACTGTATTTAGAAGCAGACTTTTCCTAAATGGATGAGACTTGTGTGAGATTAGTTGAACCATCAAATGTACAGACAGACTCAATCATCTTTTTTTTTTAAAAATCTCCTGTTCTCCATTGTCTTGTTCTCTTGCATCCCTCCCCTAAAAACGAAATGTCAGCACCTGCTTATTGCATCATATTATTGGTGTGGTGGAGTTGGTACCACTGCAGAACAACTTGGCTCTGCTTACATGATTATTTGAGATGCAAAATTACAGGCTTACCGCCAAGAGAAGGCCTCAACGCCCCTCTGCCACTGTTCTTATTGTGTCGCCCTCTGTGTTGCCTGACGTTCAGGGCTGACAGTATAATTACTACGGTGTGGGAAGAGGATAAAAAGGGATGTTTGTTCATTCTCCCACCTACTAAACATCCAGCTGCACCACATGAGCCACTCACAGAGAAGAAGGTGGCGACTACCAGAAATCCTTCATAACATAAAATTGAATGCTTACAAGCTGTACCTTATTACTGTGTCATGTGCAGAGGACTAAACTTACTAAAAGGTTAAGTCCCAGGCGTCTCTGGCTCTTAAATAGTTTTCATCGTACTTATCTAACAGACAGTTCAGAATTTATATTTAAACAAATGTGACTTCTCCTTTGTGGAGTCCCTCAAGGCTCAGTCCTTGGACACCATTCTGTTTCCTATATATGTGTTGTCTTTGGGTGATATACTTTACAGTTTTAAAGGAATTTCCTACCATTTCCTACCATCTCAACAGCTTCTCCTACCTCAGCTCATGTTTTTATGCTATCACTAATTGGAAGTGTTTAAATTTCCTCGAACTCAACTCTGATAAAACTGAGGCTTTTGTTCTCTATAAAGAATCTTGGTGTTATTTTTGACTGCTGTCTGAATTTTGAAACTGGAAATTTGAGTGCGCACTTCAATTTTCTCCTGTCTTGACAAGACACATACTTGTCTTTTGTATTTCTCAGTCCTCTCTTGGTTGTCAACTGGTCCAGGATGCAGCATCTAGGCTGCCAACAGAAACTAGCCAGTAATCACATAGAACCAAATGTTTCTGTTATATTATCCTGGTTTGTTTCGGACCAACCAAGTGCTTGTTAGAAACAGGGGTTTTTTAGAATAGTTATGTTATTTTGTGCTTAGTTAGGATTGGTGTTTGTTTTTGTTTCCCCCTATTGTGTGTAAATGGTTTGGCCAAACCACTACAAAGGTGACCCTCCTGTGTCTTTGTGTTTAGGCTAGGTTGCCAGTTAAGTTGTGTCTACTTTGTTTGTTTAAGCTTCTGGAAGTTACTTTTTTATTAGAGTTATATTTAGTTGACCTCTCTTATGGGTCTACTAATTATATTTTGAACTTTGTCTTTCTGAACTTATTGTGGGGGTTAAAAAAAATTTTAAAAGCCCATTTCTGAAGACATGTTTCCTGTGTCTTCTATGCTTTTGCTGCTTGGTCCCTCACATGTGTCTAACCTAAAGCAAAACCATACCACCAAACATGAATAACTGAAGAATGGAAATTACCATCATCTTTTCATTGCAGTGTCCTTTTTTGCTTTCTTGTCATAGGAACTGGAAACAATGTCAAATAGCCAGTTAGGCTCTATGCAAAGCTGACCTTGGAACACCTCTAAATCTCAATAAAAAAGCACATAACCTTAAATATTCTTGCTAAGTATCTTTGTTTCTACTCATTTGTTTTCTAAAATGCACAAATTTGGACGGCTAGTTTTTCCCCATGGTTTTCGTTTTTATAATAAATTAAGCTATTATTCAGCTTTAAGCAGTCCTGGAAGTGATATCAATAATCTCATCAGGAAGAAACTGAATGAGCATATTTCTCAATAGGTTAATATAATCCCTTTAACATGGACACTTACGGAAATAAAGTAAAACTTAAATATTTTAAGCACGGGCATGGTGATTTGGTTTGCATACAATTATCATTTATTTTCTCCTGCAGCTGAGATTTGCTCTGATCCTTGCCTGACCACCCAAGTACTTAAGACCTCTCTCTTCATAGTTTTAATTCTTAATTTTTTTTAACCAAATACTTTGGTTGCTTCTGGCTTAGAACCTTCTCTAAACTTTCTCTTAAAAGATAAATCAACAACATGTTATAAATTTTGAGAAAAACTGATCACAAATGAGTTTGATAAACTTGCCTGCAGCTGTTTAATGAATATGTAACAATGAAACTCCCCGGACTGGATTTTGTTCTCGAAATGAAAAACTCTTCTTGGATTTTGGTAAAATGACTTCAAAGTTGGAGATGTTAAGCACTTACAAGAAGACAGAGGCTTTCAGAAGGAGGCTCATCATTTTTATTCAAGTGTGTTATGGCTTCACCCAGGCTGTTCAAACCCAGTGAGTCACCCACACCAAATCATGCACACACACTCACCAAAAAAAAAGGAAAGAAAGAAAAAAGAAAACATACAAATGTAAAATGTTATGTAAAATGTTCATTGCACTCTGAACAAATCTCAACGATCTCTTCTCTAAATGTTGAAAAGAGAGCCACACCAGAGAGCACTGTACAGACATCAGTTTCAAAATTGCAACAGAGGACGTCAGTGGCCTCAAACCACATGATTACCAGCAAGATGGGCTATAATCTCCTGTAAGGAATATGGTACATGGTATTTTTTTGTTCATCAGACCTACAGAAGAACCTATTGCAAAGGATATTTCACAAATAGAAGTTATGGAACACATTTTCTATTATTACACAGATAGTAGTGCAATTTGTGTCTCTTTGTCCCTGTCGTAGATAAACATGGCACTGTTGACAGAGAAATGGCCTGCACATACTGCCACATGCAGTAAGGAACACCTGGAAGCCAAGCATGGCCACATACGGGATGCCGTAAAAAGAAGCAGCAGCCAATGACCAACGGGAATCAAATCACCTCCGTATCGTATGACCCCACGTGGCAGAAGACAATATGCAGCCGTGTTTGTCTGGTGAGAGCAATGGCGTGTGCGGCTGTTTCTCCGTGCCGTCTGCATCTGTTACAGAGTAACATTCAGTCGAGGACCATCAGCGTGACATGTGACGTGGTGGTTGAAAAATCAGAGTAATATGAACGCGTGTGGGAGGGGGATGAAAAACGATCTGACTTGCTGCTCATGAAGATTAAATGAGTTAATTTGTTTGCTTCTTCCATTCAAAAATAAAAAAAAATAAAATGATCCATTATGGCTGATACATTCCCCAGAAATGCTGCTTGGAAAGGTTTTACTGTGAAAGTGGAAGCAAAGCAGATGCCACTGATCACTTAGTGAGCGCAGATATTTGGTTAACCCTATCAGTGTTCTGGTAATGATAGATCTCGATAATGGTAACGATCATTCTGGTGTACTGCATTCTCAGAGTAACAGGTGAGAGGAGGAAGCACTGAAACGTCTCAACAACAAAGTCCAAAAAGAACAGTTGTTTTCTCGTCAGTGTACTCTTCAAGTACATTCAGATAACCTTGACCTATATTAAGGTTTCATATTATCAACAAATCCCCCAAAGAGATCAAAATCAATGATGCATACAGCTGTCTCACTATCTGACCTTATATATTTTTGTGACATTAAGCTGGAATTCCATCATCCGCTTCCTTGGTTGATTGGGATTATATGACTAAGTAAAATGGGGGAAAACAACAACAACCACAAAAAGAAAACGGGGGACTTGGAGTAAGAATCATGAATCATCATCACCCTAAGCTAAGTTTGTTTGTGCATTTTGGATGGCTGATTTTCTGGCCCTGCTCTTGTCTCAACGCTCTTTAGCTAGAAATCTATCTGCCAAGCATCAAACAGCAAGCAAAGTTCTTAAGGTGATAACATCCAAGAAACCTTGGGAGCTGCATATTTATCTTGGGAAAGAGTAAATATTGTTCTTTTGTATAGATCAGTAGATCTATTGATCTATACATGACTCCAACTGTAATGTTAAACATGTTTACTGGAGAATCTTTCTCACAACATATCCTTTTTCATTGGCAATGTACAAAGATATTAAGTAGCTGTTAGCTTAAAACTGACGCTCCTGACTCTCAACGTTGACTGCGGGGTTTGTGTGTTTTAGCTTGCCTCTTATAGCTCAGTGACGCCTCATTGAGGCCACCCTAATTGAGACTAGGAAAAATACGTGGTTACTCTGTGATTGTGTTTGTCAATCAATTGAAAGTAGTTGCAGCAACCAGCTGGTTACCTAACCTGTGTTAGCCTGGGGGCCACTTTCAGTTACAAGGCGATTTTGTATTTTGCAGTAAAATGACAATTTATCATTTTATCAGTTTATTTCTATATTATCACAAACAGATGTTGGTATGTAGTTACCAGCTTGACCCCATTCAATTGCAGACTGATAGCAACAAGAACAAGAGCTCCATGTTATTGCTGATACATCAGGGTCGCTTTAAAGATGGCATCTCACTTCAAGTGGTCGCGGACTTGGTTGCACACAGTCACAATCAATTTGTCATGTCGCCATCTCTAACCACTGAGTGGCTGCAGCATTAGCTAATTGAAGTACCCACATGCTACCAAACATAGCTAAATATGGTTTTAAGTTGATAATGTCAGCTGATTCTTTCAAGTTCACAAAAAATAGCTGATGCAGCTTCGAAAATAGGCTGTATCAGCTTTGCGTCAGTATTTACCCCTTAGCCGTAAAAGGCTTTCGGGGTATTGTCATTACCCTGCTGTGTGGGCGAGCAGATGGCGTGAACACCTAAGTTTGTGAATGAGGTAAAAATTGATGCCATAGGTGTATTTACTAAAAAAAAATCTCAGCCGAATCTGAATCTCAGTGACCTCAACCCCAAAAGTCAGACGTCAAGTTTTCTGAAAATCTCAACTTGATAGTAAGGTGACGTAGGATTCTAAAAACTGCTAGCATAGTTGTGTCTTCTAGGAGGCTGAGGGGAAGCATTGGCTATGGGTAGTGTTTTTAATTAATACTATAAGTTTTCTGTGGTTGTGGCCTGTTGTGGGTTATGTTGAACTTTCCATGTTATATCCTTTAAACCTGTCAAATAATCACACTCCTTGTGTTTCTTGCACCATCTGACTTCATTGTGGGAGGTTGTGGCAAAGCTCAGCAATTATCTCTGAAAGCACAGTGTTACTATTACTGAGGAGTAGCGACCCAGCATTATGAGAAGGATACCCAAGCTGCTATACACCACAATAATCTTTTGAACCATTATGAGATGATTGTGTCTTTTAAAAGTTAGGAAGTGATTCAGTCTGCTTTGTCAATGAGTGAGTGCCTGACTCTGCGTGGTGGGGTTCAGATGTTGATTTCCTTATCATCATACGACTTATCAGGACTGAAATCTGTCTCTATGTAACCGCATCTGCTCTATTGTTAGCCCGAAGCCAGACTGCTATAGTCTAACAATAGATTTGGTAACGTACAAACAGATCTGCTGTTGAAATGTGCCCACTTTAACAGAAACACTGACTGCTGTTTCTTCAAGGCACATATGCTGATGTGTAAAAATACATATGCATCTCAGCCATGAAAAGGCTTGTTTTTTTATTCCAAAGATTGTTATCTAAATATGCTGTACAAAATGTTTAAAAGCCAGTAAAGTTCCAATAATGAAACAATGCTTTTAGGGCTTCTCTTAGACTCCATGCCTATGTTTGTCACGACTGAATAGGATCCATAGCTTTTTACCGTTTGCCCAAACAGAATGGCATTCACCTTGTGAGGCATGCTCAGCTACCCAGGAAATTAATAAAAGCCTGTTAAACACAAGGCTGCAGAGAATACTGAAGGTCACGCTTTAACTTGAAAGTTAAAGTGCAGAAGTTTTACCAGGTTTCCAGGAGTATTCATTGATTTTTACATGACATAACCTGCTATGGGAATAAAAAGGCTCCCAGGCCTGTGCAACTTAAAAAAAAATTCTCGCCATCCTGCTCCATACTTTACAAAGAATATACACTTAAATTTACATTTGCATGTTAAAATGCATTTTCAATCCTGACTAATTTACATGATGGAAATTTAAACACATGTGAATTGGACCTTAAAAACAGGCTGGTAATCAACATGAACATCCAGAGTTAATCAAGTATTTCTTAGCCTCATGGCAAGACACAGGAGTCAGGGAGATGATGTTTCTAAGTTGCATTTCTCTGAAAATTTCAAAATGAGAATTTGATATGTACATCGGTTTGTTTGGCCTGTGCGCTTGGACTTCTTGGATTGCATTCATCACCTACAGGAAATCAAGAAAAAGGGGGTTTCATTGAAAATTTAAATCTTTTTTTTCTTTTTTTGAATTAAAAGTCATAAAGCGAGGTAAATAACTGCTGGGATTTATCAAAAGTAATGTTCATTATTTGGTAAATCATTCTTAATTGTTTGTAATTAACATAGTTATAATGGAAAAAATCGATCTGCCCATTGAAGTTCATGCACTTCCTCAGATCAGCCTTTCGACAACAAAAGAATCCTCCCTCTCCATTTTCTTCTACTGTTATTTTACTGAGAGTGAAAGGATCATCCTGGTGTTATCAAGCTTGCCTTATTCACAATCTTGAGCTGTCCCCTCCTATTAATTCATTCTCACTATTCAGCTTTTCCCTCCTTGTTGATGTGTTTATCACCTCGTGTTTCCCTAATGGCTCCAAAGTGTATCCAGATCTCAAGAGTTGTCAGTTCAGATCTGCATGCCTCCCCGTCACTGTTTGCACTCGGGCTCTCAGTCCTACGTGGTTACATTTGTGCAGGTTTCAGAAGCACGCTCAGGGTTAGCTGCTACAGGCATGCATCATGTACTATTCAGGGCTTTGGAGCATGCTCATATGTGTCTGTAATTAAACATACACTGCTTCTAAATTCAGATGGAGTAATTTAATTGCACTTATCAAAAATTCCACCCTCTGGGTCCGCTTACACTCATCAACATCACGGCACGGTAATGCCAGCTTCATTAATCTGACTTAATTTGTGATTTTCAAACATCCTATAAATGATCTTTTCTCAGCTTAACTCATAGATCCCCATCTTGATAGTTGTGACCGACATTTCCCATAATGCTCCAGTTTACTTGCCATTAAGAGACTGAAAATAAAAGCTGGCCATTACTTCCAAATATCGACAGGGGGTGCTGACTCCTCTGGTTGCAAAAAGGACTCTGTGAAGTTCACGTAAAAATGAACTTACTGCTGATTTATGATCTCAGTAAAGGTTGTCTTGAGCTTAGGATCTCAATAGTTTAACATGATCATTATTTTATCAAATGTGGTTTCATTTATAGAAAAACAAATGATAAAGCAAGGTATACTTTGCACATTGCTGATGTCTCATTAAAAAAAAGGGTGATGTCATCGTGAATTTTCCCATCTTCTATTTAGAGTCTATGATCTTATGGTGCTCATGAAGCTTTTCGAGGTATAGAAAAACAACCCTGCTGATGTCAGAGTGATGTTATTAGGGGTAACTTTTATTTTTATGTTTTAGCGTTAGAATTTGTAAAAAAGTCACCATTCGAGGTCAAATGAAAGATAGGTTTCATTATGGAAAACATAAGAGTCAGTTGTTTCCGGGTATTGAGCCATATGAGAGACTAAGAGTCTGAAATTGTGCTGCATCTTTAGTAAATTGAGCAATATTTTTTTAGAATCAGTTTTATGTGTGCCCTCCAAATGGCTGGAAGCCAAAGCACTGAATCATCAATTTGTTACACAGTTTGTGGCTGCACTGGATTGTTATCCATTAAGGCAACTCCTACTACAAAAACCTGCCTTTAAAAACATTTTTAACCATATTTGAATGCTAATTATCTGCGCAAAATCATGAATGCAGAGAGAAGCCTCTGCACTTTAACTGAACTCATATTTAGCATGAATGTCAGCGGGAGGGAAAAATCATTATCAGACTCTGGGTACGTTAGACCCCAAAAGTGGAAAGTCTGTCTAAATGGAAAAGAACTGAGGCCTGATTTGTGTGTGTGTGAAAATAAAGCTTTTATGGCCAGATCTGATGTTTCTAGAACAGGAGGAAATATCAATAACCGCAGCATGATCCTTTCTGATCAAAGACAAACAGATGCCTTTCACACAAATGTTCTGGAAAAGAGACGCAAACAATGTCACAAAAACCATGGCATACTATTAAATGACAGCTAATGCACATGCTAATATTGGCAACAGTATTTTGGCTTGATGTGTCGTGAATCCGTTTAAATACATGATTGCTTATAGAAAACAATACCTGATGCTTTAAGTCACTTTAAATTCTCTGTCTGCAGTGAGGCAATGGAAACATACATAACGGTAAATGCTGCTTCAAGTTATGGTGAAACAACTCCCTTTGAAAAATAGCATTTCCCCCAGTGTGCATCATTTGGTATGTAACCAAAGGTTAATATATCAATTTCTGTAGTGTAAATCTGTAATAAGGAAAAGTCTTGCAGTTTGTGTTGTTTGGTTCTTAAATGGAGCAATCTCTTGAAAAAATAGACATCCATGCTTCATGCTTTGCATCCCCTTGTGTCCGCGCCTGCTGTTCTTGAATAGTTTCCCAAGAATACTTCAATTTCATACAACCAAACTGGAGGGAAAAAGTGCTGAAATAAGATTTGGTAAAGGAGCAGCATTGGAAATGTTTGACCTTGTGTATAAAACTTATGGTCCTGTGGTTGTTGGGGTCTAGATAGATTTCCTTCTCCTCATGAGCTGGTGATTGTCTGTGAAGCTGTGAAGGCCTGGAGACACCGAGCTGATGGGCGAAGGGAAGAAGCTGTTTTTCAAGGTGCTGGGCGAGATCTCCTCAATCCTATAGGAAACCGAGTGAAAGTACTGGTTGGGGTTCAGCTGTGAGCTGAATGAGTTCTTGTGGGAAAAGGCACAGCCCAGGCCTCCCATCCCCGGGCTAGGGCTGTCATGCGAGTGATAGTGCATACAGGAGCACACTGACTGCAGATCAGTCACTTCTGCGTGGTATGGCTCCCGTCGCCGCCGTGCCCGGTGCAGCGATTCATCTTGGATGTGGATGATCATGCTGTTCCGATTGCCAGCGAGTGAGGCCCGTTCCTCGGCATCCCGCCGCTCGTCCTCACTATTCATAGTCAGGAAACGGAGCACCACTAGATTGAGGAAGGCCCCGATGACCGTAAGGCCCACCAGGATGTACATGAAGCTAAAGGCCACATAAAGGGGTTTCTTCTGGAGGGCCCGATTCTTTTGAAGGGCCACAAAGTCCCCAAAGCCAATAGTTGTTAATGTGATGAAGCAATAATAGTAAGACTGGAAGAAGCTCCAGTCCTCATAATGGGAGAATGCAGCGGCCCCGATGCACAACGTGCCAATGCAGGAGAAAAATCCCACCGTCACCATGTTCTCCATGGACACATCAGTGATGCGCATGCCGCAGCACTTCTTGATGCGTTTCAGAAGGTACTTGACAAAAGTGTTCATCCTCTCGCCCAGGCTTTGAAACATGACAAGAGTCAAAGGGATTCCCAGGACGGCGTAAAACATGCAAAAGGCCTTTCCTGCATCGGTCCCTGGCGCCGCGTGCCCGTAGCCTGAGAAGAGAGCAGAAAGACAGCAGAAATTAGTGATGCGGAAAGACGTCAAGTCCGGGCTGGTTTTGATGCCACCAGTGCTATTGTAACTGTATACTCAAAAAGCCCCAGATCAGCTTTTGTTGACAAACATGACCAAGCAAGAAATCTTCTAAAGAGTCTGCAAGCAGTGCCAAAAGAGGTATTGAATAGGCACATGCCACAGAAATGCGTCTGCTCATTAATCTTATTTGGGCTCAAAGATTATGGCAGGAGGGACGTCCAATTAGTCTGAAGTTTCCGGCGAGGTAAAACAGTTTGGACGAAGGATTGGAAAAGAGTCATGGGGGAGCCAGTGAAGCTTTTAGCTTAATTAGACTTTATCTTTAGACCACAAGCTGCTGACTCACACACAAACAGACTATTGGAAATCAACCTGTGGGGCAAACAATAGGATTGATACACCATATTCAACTGGGTTTCTAAATGAAGTGTAATTGATTTTAAGTGCATGAATTGTAATTGAATGTTACTTCATAGACTGCAATATGAATGAAACTTGTAGAGCGTCATATTGATTATCTCTCCTCTAGCAAAGCCTTTAGCTGCAAGTATTAAACACCAAAGTCCTAGCCAAGATACACCCACCATCAGTTGGCATGTGTATCGCTTCAACAACTGACCTTCAAACAGAGACATAATATTTTTGGTGTACTGTATACATAAAAAAACATTTAATGTTCTGTGTTTTGAATTTGAATTGTGATTCTGTCTTTTCCCATATGCCCGTCCACCCACACAGGCATGTGTTTAGCTAAGGCTGAAAGCAAACTTGGCTGGATCAATCTGATTTGCAATCGAAGCATTTATATTTCCATATGCAATGTGTGTTCCTGACCTGAGGTTTCATTAGTGGACTTTAAAGAAATGCATTAAGCAAGATTTCAAATGTTGCCTTATCCTATGGCAGAGTTTAAGTGGTTGAATTTTTTTTTTCCAAACTGCACTGTTATTATTTTTGCGCGTAATATGAAAGGAGCCGAGTGCACTTAAGAAATTAGAATTAAATTATCACTAAACAGCAACCTCCCATGCTATAAAAAACAGCCAGTATGGTGCTGAAAGTTAAAGTTCTTCAAACTGAGGCTAACTCCAAAAGGGAGCTAATGACAACCGATCCCTCTGGCAAAATGATCACTTTTACACCAGAAATAAACAGGTTCACAGCAAATATTCTTGGTTTCAAATGCCAATTGATAAGACCACTGCTGGTGGTAAATTTTTTAATATGTCATTCTTTAATTATTTATTCAGTTATGCTTTATCAAGCGTCAGCATGTTTTAAGCCTATTCTAAGCCTAGCCTATCTTTGCTAGCTAAAATTCGCATTGCATTTATTATTACAGTGAGTTTATGAAAACACCTTGCTAACCTAGCTGATTAGTTTGATTTATGGTTCTCAACCAATCAATAGCTCTCATTGGATTTATGTATCTTTTGGGGTTTTTTTTTAGTTTATTATTTCGGTTTTATTGTTAGCATACTCTAGCTTCAACCGCTCTTTTATGTAGCTTTTTTGGGTACAATCTAAAAAATTCCACAGCAAGTGGGTTGGCAAAGTGGAGCACTGAGCCATACAAATTAATAAATAAATAAATTAAATAATTAATAAGAAGATGAAGACCAAAATGTGAGAAAAAGCGATGTGGATACTAGCAAAACAATGCAACCGTAAATAAATCCAAACATGCAAACAAGCAGATATTTGCCAATCTGTTCCACAGCCACAAGTGCTCCTGCCTTACAACAAAAAACAAAACACAAACTTGATTACACAGGTTTAAGTTTGCTTTAAATAATCTAAAATAATATATAACCACTCAACCCAATAATATGTTATACACATCAAATTTCCCCGCTTGAGATTAAAACCAGAAATCCTGCATATTCGTCTTGTCTGATTACACTTACATGACACACTTACAGTATGTGTCATTTGACTTAAGCAGCTTGAAGCAGTGATAGATCTTCTTGATGATACAATAAAAGTAATAGCAATCGACGCGAGGATTAGTATCCACATCAGCTTTGTCGGTATCTGCGACAAAAGAGCAATTACAGATCATATCTGGTGCCAAGCACTGGCATTAAAGTGGCTGTCTAATTTTTCACAGAGACGTCTGAGATCTGCTGCTTGTTCATTAATGAGAGAGTAAACTAAAGTTGGGGGGAAATCAAACCCTTTTCCCATAACTAAACAAAATAATATATACATTAATCTTGATTTTTCAATTCGCCCCGAGCCTGATAATCAAACTCATACAGTGCAAAAGTGTTGGCTCCCCACACGATATGCAGCAGGATTAGGGATGGGTACCGGTGTCCGGTGCCATGATGGCACCGGTTCTGACATAAACGGTAGTAACCAGACCGAAAAGCAGCGCACATTTCGGTGCTTTATTTCGGTGCTTTTTTTTTCCTGAGCTGTGATACACTTCTAGCCAATAATTTTACGTTTCCGAGGATAGTAGGCGGGTCCAGGTACGTACTTTTAGAGCAGAGCTACAGATTAAAATGTCCAAGGCGAAGCGGTCAAAAGTCTGGCTGTACTTCACAGCAAAATATTCAAACTCAGCAGCCTGCAACAAGTGCTTTAAGCTGATACTGTGATACTGTCAAAGGAGGTAACACCTCAAATCCGATGAAACACCTGGCGACGCATAGCGGGTTTTTTTAAAAGCCCAGAAATGCGCCGTATGATAGCTTGCTGCGAGACCTCACACCGAGCGCATCTACTGTGCGTGGGTTGCCTGTTATCTGACCCGGAGTTAGCAATATCCCCCAAAAACCCCGAAGAGGAGAGTCCTGGCCCCTAGCCCTGCCAGTGTAGCAGAAATGATGACGGATGATGATGCAGCAGCAGCCGTTCTTCTCTGCGTGAGTAGCTTAATGTTCGTGTGTAATTTACGTTGAGTAGGCTAACCACGTTATTACATTAATGCATGTAAGGTGAACTAGCAAACATCATCATAGCTACATGCGTCTGTCTTCTTGTTTGATGGCAGATACTCCCTTCACCCTGGCCAAAAAGGCTAAAATGACCAAAGAAAAAGTGGAAAACAGCTAAACATGAGAGGTTTTTGGACAAAGTTTGTGTTTTTTTCCATTGTTTAAGCACTGCTTCCAGCCAAGAGTGATCCCATATATGCCCCATAGCTGCAGAAAAGGCTAACATTGTTATCTTTTTACAAAAAACCAGCTGAACATGAGAGGTTTTTGGACCAATTTTGTGTTCTCCATTATTTAAGCACCGGTTTGAGCACCGTTTGAGCACCAGCACCGTTTCAAAAGTACCGATTTGGCACCGGTATCGGATAAAACCTAAACGATACCCATCCCTAAGCAGGATGTACTATAATGTTGCAGCACAACAACAGACCACACCTAAACATAACCTTCCTGCAGAGAGCCCAGACCAGCCATGCTTCTTCTTTCAAAATAAAGTACTGCTTACAATAAATTTCACTTTAAGAATGTGTATTACTGACTATTGTGAAACTCACAGGAAACAGACAACAGCCTCTCACTTTATGACAGCTTAAATTGTTTTAACAGGTTAAATCGATTTAATCCCCCTCCCAACTTAAATGGCATTAATGATGAAACAGAAGTGGGGGCAGTATTGTTAGTTAAATAAAACTCCAGTATTTCGAATTTCCGTCTTTAAAAGGATTTGAGCTTCCTGAGTAAAATCTAGAAGCAGGAAACTTGGGTAAAAACACTGAGCGTAGGTGTTTGTTTTGCATTGCAGCACAGCTTATTCTTTCCGTGAAGTTGGAAGAGTGTGCATAAAGTGTTGCTGCAAATGAGCCGACTGAATCTGTTGAACAATGAGCAGTGATTACTTTAAATATGGACTACAAAAAGATACGTTTAAAAAAAGGAAAATAAATTTTACTGCAGACTTATTTCGACACAGGTATAGTATTAATGCAAATATATATCATGCAGATCTGCAACTTCTTAATCATGCGATTATTATATACATATACATATACATATACATATATTATTTACTAATTATTGCAGGAGAAAAAATATTTTTCAGGGTTAATGTCATGTGGAAAATATAGCAAAAACATGCCTGTGGCATCTCAAAAGTCTTAGGCAACTCTAATTACATCTCAGGACAGATTTGTATACCCAGCCATCTGTCTTTTTCCAATCTTGCTCAAAATTAGCAAATTAATTGATATTGATTCTTATTGCTTAAATTTGTTCTCAGCGAGTAATTAGGACGTAATGAATTACAGCAGCAGCTGTGAAGAAGTGACAGCTTTCATTTGATTACAACTCGACAGAGTATGTATATTACCACAAATGTCGTCCACAGATGATCCTTCAGCATTATGGGCTGCACTCGAAGACATTATGCCAACTAAAAACTACTTCTGTTCAGTCATTTGAGCTTCCTGTCCCAGGCTTGTTGAAGTGTGATAGGTATTGGTTCAACTTCTGCCAACAAGGCTCGTGTGGATTCTCCTTTTTTTATTATTTAAATCTGGACAGATAAGCACCTAAATGTCAGTCTGATGGTGAAAGCAATGTACTATTAAAAACGTGGACCTGTTAGTGATAAGACTAATGATATTAAAAGGGAAAAAAAGCAAAAAGCAATAAAATCATATCCACAGTGATGTCCTGTCAGTCGGAGCGCTCGTTGCTCCAGCATTCATTAGTGTCCTTGCATTTCCAAGGCAATAAACAGAAGATTAACAGGGCTTTACAGGGATTCAGAGAGATGACCTACAGACCTACAGAGTGGATATTAACTTGTAAAAGTAATCATCTCTGACATTTATTGTATCAAATAATATCCACTTGGGTGCCGTCTATCTTGGACTGATAAGACGATGCATCCAGGAAAGCTTATCGTTTTTCTAGTTTGTCCCTGCTGCGTAACTCCTGACACACACGAAAACCATTTCCAAGCTCGAAAAAAAAAAAGTTGTGAAATGTCG